CTCCCTGGCTAATGTTGTCCCCATCAAAATCCCAAAGCCTTTTGGCATCTGAAAACATTACAGTATAGTATGGACAGAATAGTTCTGTTTCAGCAATGCATATCGTTGGATGGCCACATCTGGAAAACAAATATGCCTAATTATCTATAGTTTTAATGTCCTGTATATGTTCAACATGTCAAGATACAAACTCTGGCTGGCTTGGAGGAATATATGTATTTTGCCAAAGTGGCCAACATACATAACACTGCCTTCCCACTCTTCTTGTGTGGTTTGGATGTGAGTGTGCATGTGTGTGCTGTGTGCATTTGTATGCATGCATGTGTGTAGGTGCACCTTGCTTCTGTGTGTGTGTGTGAGACAGAGAGAGACAGAGAGAGACAAAGAGACAGGGACAGAGAGAGACAGAGACAGAGAGACAAAGAGACAAAGAGACAGGGACAGAGACAGAGACAGAGAGACAAAGAGAGAGACAGAGACAGAGAGACAAAGAGACAGGGACAGAGAGAGACAGAGACAGAGAGACAAAGAGATAGAGAGAGAGACAGAGACAGAGAAGCGGGAGAGTGGGCTGTTTGTGGCTCTGTGCAATTGACTAGGGCTGCATGCTTTATTGTTTCATTACACTAAACCTCCAGGCTTGGTGCTCATGAATGGATGGCAGGGGTTCTGTTTCAATCAAGGAGGCAGAGGCAGGGGAGATTTTCTGGAGATGTGACTGAACAAAGACATACACAAGGTTGGACACACACACAGACTTATCTATAGGCTTAATTAGCTAATGTTTGAAAATGATAGGGTCGTGGAAATTAAAACTAGAAAAGGCCCTCAGATGATCCACTGCAGGGATTCTTAACCTTTTTGGCTTCATGGAATCCTTTGGCAGTCTGCTGGGGCCTAGGGACTCCTCAGAATCTTGTTTTTAAGTAATTGAAAGAAATGCTAAACTTTGGTGCAGATTAGTGAAAATCAAGCCGTAATTATTTTTTCCAATCTCAGTTCGTGTACTCCCTAAATTGTCTACACAGACTTGGTGTCTCTGACCAGACCTTTATCATCTCTAATCCAGAATCCCATCTCCTGAGTTTAGAGATTAAGAATCTAAGGCCCAGACTGTTTAGGTGACTTGTTCAAGGTCACACAGATGTACTCAAGTCTCCTGTCACCTTCCCATGTGGAAAAATAGTTCAAATAGTAGAATTACAGAATTATAGGGTTTGGGAGTTAGAAGAACTTTGAGGGTTCATCTGATCCCATCACTTTACAATGGTGAAACTGAAACCAGAGAGGACAAGTGATTTGCCTGTGGTCACATAGTAAGTTCATGGCACAGCAAGGGTAAGGACCTGGGTCTCCCATGTCCATGTTGAACGCTCTTTTCCTTATTATGAGTAATTCAGGTGCAAAGAGTCTCAGGTATTTTAGTCTGCTCCATATCTTCTTTCCAATCCCACTCCCATGCTCTTAGTTAAGAGAGTTTGACCTAGCTATTCACCCAGGAAAAAGGAAATGTATACGGCAGCTATTTAAACAGAAGACGTGGAGCAGGCTGAAGTTCTTGGAATGATCCCAAGCTTCTCCCTGAAGATCAGCGATCTTTCAGGGACACTATCTGGGGAAGCCACAGACTTCCAAGAATTGAGGTTAGACATTACCCAGAGGCCAGTGTGAGGCTCCTGGTGAGTGTAAGCAGAGAGTGACCCATTACCACTGGGACTTGTGTACATCAAGTGGTGTGAAAGACAGTGTCAAATAAGGGATCCAAAGAGAAGATGGTCTTATTGGATAGCAATGACTAGTGGGCAAGCCTGCTGGCTTTTTGAGATGTCCAGAGAATGCGAGGGAGGCACCTGGGAGAGTGGTGATCTTCCTCTTATGAACTGAGGGGAGGACACCATATGGACTGGAGCAGGAGAGGTGTGCTCTTCATCTCTGGTTCAAGTACATTGAGATGTGTTGGTATATTAGTGCTTTTTTATGGCTTTCCCAAAGGACTTTCTCCAGACTTGGCTTATGTCACTTAAACAACTTTGTGCCCAAGGTGTCCTGCCTCAAACCAATTGCCTTTGCTCCTCCCTTCTCATCTTCTCAGATATGTTGTGAGAAAAAAAAATCTTTCTGGAGATATGTATTTTACCAAAAAGTCTTAATTTCATACTCTTCTAAATTGAACATTTTTTTTTATTTTTAAGGAAATTGAACCTGAGCTGGTTCAAGTCATTATTAGCATGGAGGGAAATAAAAGACTTATTCTACTGTCATCAGCTTTTAAAACTTAAATCAAGATCAATGTGGTGTTGTCTAGCAAATCCTGAATAATTTTTAAAAAAATTATTTTTCCCAATTACATTCTCAATAATAACATTTTTTAAAAAAATTTGAGTTCCAAATTTTCTTCCTCACTTCTTCCCTCCTTCCCCTTCCCTCCTTCCTCCTTGAGAAGGCAAGTAATTTGATATAGGTAATACATGTACTTTCATGCAAACATATTTCCCTATTAGTCATGTGAAAGAAAACACACACACACACACACACATATATACACCCCGCCGCCAAAAGAAAGCCCCAAGAAAAGTAAAGAAAGTCTAAAAAAAGTATGCTTCAATCTGCATTCAGACTCTATCAGTTCTTTCTCTGGAGGTAGATATCATTTTTTCCAGTCCTTTGGAATTGTCTTGGATCATTGTATTGCTGAGATTGGCTAAGTCATTCACAGTTGATCATCGTACAATATAGCTGTTACTGTGTACGATGTTCTTCTGGTTCTGCTCATTTCACTTTGTATCAATTCATGTAAGTTTTTACAGGTTTTTCTGAGAGCATCCTGCTCATCATTTCTTATAGCACAATAGTGTTCCATCACAATCATATACCATAATTTGTTCAGCCATTCCACAGTTTATGACCATCCCTCAATTTCCAGTTCTTTACCACCACTAAAAGAGCTGTTATAAATATTTTTGTACATATAGGTCCTTTTTTCTTTCTTCCTTCCTTCCTTCCTTCCTTCCTTCCTTCCTTCCTTCCTTCCTTCCTTCCTTCCTTCCTTCCTTCCTTCCTTCCTTCCTTCCTTCCTTCCTTCCTTCCTTCCTTTTCTTTCTTTCTTTCTTTCTTTTCTTTCTTTTCTTTCTTTCTTTCTTTCTTTCTTTCTTTCTTTCTTTTTTCTTTCTTTCTTTCTTTCTTTCTTCTTTCTTTCTTTCTTCTTTCTTTTTTCTTCTTCTTTCTTTTTTCTTCTTCTTTCTTCTTCCTCCTTCCTTCCTTCCTTCCTTCCTTCCTTCCTTCCTTCCTTCCTTCCTTCCTTCCTCTTCCTCCCTCCTCCTCCCTCCCTCCTCCTCCTCCTTTCTTTCTTTCTCTTCCTTCCTTCCTTCCTTCCTTCCTTCCTTCCTTCCTTCCTTCCTTCCTTCCTTTCTTTCTTTCTTTCCTGCTTTCTTTCTTTCTCTCTTTTTTAAATCTCTTTGGAATACAGATCTAGTCGTGGTATTGCTATGTCAAAGAGTTTTATAGCTCGTTGGACTTAGATCCAAATTGCTCTCCAGAATGGTTGAATCAGTTCACAACTCCACCAACAGTGCAATAGTATTTCAATTTTCTCACATCCCCTCTAAAATTTGTCGTTTTCCTTTTCTGTCATATTAGCCAATCTGATAGGTGTGGGATGGTACTGCAGAGTTGTTTTAATTTGCATTTTTCTAATCAATAATGATTTGGAGCATTTTTTCATGTGACTGGATAGCATTGATTACTTTGATCCTTGCTTGTTCATATCTTTTGACCATTTATCAATTAGGAAATGACTTGTGTTCTTATTAATTTGACTGAGTTCTCTATATATTTGAGAAATGCAAGATTCAGAGAATCTTGTAGTAAATTTTTTTTTCACAGTTATGTTTACTGTATATTTCCTGCCATCCTATTTTCCTCCTCTTTATCCTGCCCTCTTTCTCCTTTCACCTTGTCCATCCTCAAAAGTGTTTTGCTTCTGACTGCTGCCTCCCCCAGTCCACCCTCTTTTCCATCAGCACCTCCCCCCCATCCCCTTCCCCTCCTACTTTCCTGTAGGGCAAGATAGATTTCTATACCCAACTGAGCGTGTATGTTATTTCCTCTTTGAGCCAATTCCAATGAGAGTTAAATTCAAGCACTGCTCCCACCTCCCCCATCTTCCCCTCCACTGTAAAAGCTCTTTCATGCCTCTTTTATGTGAGAGAATTAACCCCATTCTGCCTCTCCCTTCTCCCTTTTCCCAGTGTATCTTTCTTTCTCAACCTTTAATTATATTTATATATACATATACATACATACATATAATATATATATATGTATATATATATATATGTATATATATGTATCATCTCATCATATTCAGTTCACAACCTGCATATATTCGCTCTCACTGCCCTAATAATGAGAAAGTTCTTAGGAGTTACAAGTATCACCTTTCCACATCTTATTTTCCCCTGCTGAAGTGTAAGCTCTTTGAAGGCAGGAGCTATAGAACTTCATTTTGTATACTCTGTGCTGTACCCAGTGTTTTTCCCACAGTAGGTACACAATAAAGGTTTGTTTATTAGTGTACAAACAAGATACCCATAAGCCTCCTAATACCTGCCTTATAGCCATAATAGCTTTCATTTTTACATCACTTCAATATTTCTCAAGTTCTTTCTTCACATCAATGTCTTCTGGTTTGTAGTGCAAGTATTAGCACTCCTGTTTTACTTGTGAAGGAGCCCAGGTTCAGACAAGTAAGGCAGATCAGTAACTGTGAGAGACAGAACAGCCATGGTCGTCTGCCCTCAGGCCACACTTCCTCCTGGATCTCATTGCCATGAGGATAAGCTCATTTTTCAGGGCCTTCCCTCACCACCATTTCCTTCCCCCATTTGGAAGCAGCCAGAAGTTAGCAAAATAAATATAACAATTGCATACAAATATGTAACATATTTATGCTGAAATAAAATGAGTGTCCACTTTCTCCTGTTTGGGGTTCTCCCTCTCAGATTCTCTTTGGCCCAAGATCCGGGTTCCTTTGAAAGTTGTGAGGACAGCGGAAAACAAACTGAGTAATCGGTTTTTCCCGTATGATGAGATTGAAACCGAAGCGGTGCTTGCTATTGATGACGATATCATCATGCTGACCGCGGATGAGCTACAGTTTGGCTATGAGGTAAGCTAGAGATGTTCATTGAGGCATAAATGTATACATGTGTGTGTGTGTGTGTGTGTGTGTGTGTGTGTGTGTGTGTGTAGGTGCATGCTTTTGTCTTGTTTTTTAAGGAGTGGTTGCTCTTCAGCCATGTGTTAGATTTAAGAAAGATCAGTTCTCTCCTCTGGAGTTAGGGTTTCTCATCCCTTCAATAAGATTCAGATAGATATCTATCAGTAAGAATTATGTGAAGGTTTTTTCCTTGAAGACTTTGAGGGAAAATATTATTCCAGAATTATGGTTTCTCCTTCTAAGGACACTCATGGAAAAAGAATTCCATCAGATATTCCCAAAGGAACCTCCTGAGTATTTAACGAAAACATAGGTGCTGCTGCATTAAATGCGCCCATCCCCCCCCCGAATGCAGCCAAGTACCCTAACAGTAAAGCCATCATTATGGGGAGCTTCAGGCAATGGGGACAAAAAGAAAGCAGACAGATGCTGTGGATGGCTTTCTCCCTGCTTTCCAAGTGGAAAGGCGGGCAGCCGTGCCTTCAGGGTGAGGCCTCCTCTGTGTCACCATTCAGTTGGAGGTGATGGATTAGGCCAGGTTCAGGGGTTAAGTATCAAGAGCAGCAAAGGTCTCCCCAGGGGAAAGTGCCAGGCCCTGGCTGGGTAAAAAGCAATAGGGATTGATGAGTCCTGTCAGGGAGAAGGTATATGAAATTCATGATGGAGACAGGCTTAGCCCAGTGACTGCTGAGGTAATGATGGTATCAAATCTAAGGAAAACAGAGAGTCCAAATCAATTAGCCACAGCTAGACACAGGGGAAAGTGGCAAAATGTATGCCCCCAATTCACCTCCTTTGGATAAAGGCAACTGCCTTCAGTTGGGCCCAGAATTGGCTTGGATTTGAAATTCTTAAGAAATAAGGCACTTTGATGAAGCCGATCCAGGCTTGGCATGTGAATCCCACCAGATCTTATTTATGTTTGTATGGATTTGATTTTTAGGAAAATACATTTGAGACAGTATAGTGGAAGGAACACGGACATGGGGATCATTGAGCCTGGGCTTGCTTTCCCAGTAACTTGTCTGGCCAAATCACTTCTCCATCTCCAGACTTTCTTCATTTGTTAAACAAGGATATTGAACCTTGACATTTCCTTCTAGCTCTACAATTGAAGAAATCAAAAGGCTTGTCCTCTCTGATGTTAACAACTAAATGTTATAACATTGGGTGAACTTAAGAGAAACTGTCGTGTAATGACAAAGAGTGTTCAGAAGCGTATTGCTTCTGTTATGAAAGGGTGTGAGAAAAGGACTGGTATTTCAGTGGTATAGGGAGCTCCCATGTGATGAAACACCCTCTGCCAGTTCAGGCTGGCATCCTCTCTGTCACTTGTTGTTTTAGGGAATTACCTAGAGCACTGAGATTTTAAATGATTTCCGAACCCAATACTTCTTGGCTTCTAGGCCAACTCCATGTTACTCCAGTGTTGTATCCTCACCTAACAGTGGTTTTAGAGAAAGAGTTGAGAGACTAAATGAAAAGTTTATACTCAATTTTCTCAGATTTCTTTTTTAGGCATTTGAAATAACTTTGACTCTATATCCAAAGAAAGCATGTCATAATCTGACAAGCATTCCCCATAACTCTTAAGTGTTTGCTTCTCCAGCCAAGTCACAACAAGGAGAACAGTTTCTTCTGATGGCACATTATGTGATGACTGCTTCTGATTCAAACTTTACATGTGAGTTCCCTTTACAACTGAGACAAAAGAGAATGCTAGAGAAGGGCCTTTAAGGTACTTCCTTGTATAGTGGCTCAGATTTCTTTCTTTGAGAGGATAAACTACCCTTCCAGGATTGGAGGTGCCTAGATGTTGAATTGTTGAGTGTTTACAAAGTAGAAGAGAAGGCACAGGATGGGGGAGGGGAGGAAGGGATTGCTGTCTCCAGATATTCAAAGGCCTGTCATTCATGTAGAAGACAGATTCGAATTGTTCAGCTTGGCTTCAGAGAGAGGACCCTGGAGCAACGGGCAGAAAGTGCAGGGAATTTTGACTCCTTGAAAAAGGAGTAAAGCTTCTTAATAGTTAGAGCCATCCAAAAGTGGGCTGTATTGCCTCTAGAGAGAACAGAGCTCCCATCTGTAAACATCTCCTAGTGGAAGCCCATTGATGAATTTGCCAAGGAGGCTCTCGGAGGAATTTCTGCTCAAGCGTATTTTTTATGGGATGAACTCAGATCTTTCTAAAGAAAAGAAAAGACCTCTAAAACTGAGGCTCTGTGATCCTCTGGCCTCATTTAAGTCCTGTTTAATTCTCAGATTCTGAAGGCTTTGATGGGCACTAATAGATTTGTGATCTCACCAATGTGATAAATGAAAAATAATTTGTCATACAGCTGCTATGTGCTTGGAAAAATTCTAAGTGTGGAGATACAAATTTTAAAAATGAGACCATCCCTTACCCTCAAGGAGCTTATATTCTAATTGGGGAAGATGACGCATATAGGAGAGTGGCGACCAGAGAAGAGAGTATCTGGGGAGTCACAGGGATGGTGATTTGATGTATAAACCAGTCAGTTGGAAGGTGCTTTTCAGAAGGACAAGAGGTAGAAAGCAGGGGCAACAAGAAAATGCCCAGGAAATGACTGAATGGGATGTGAAAGTGAAACATGATCATGGAGTTGGGTACCAGCTAGATATAATGAACTAGGTAAGTTTGGATTCACTTAGATAACAGTTAAGGCTACTGGACCACAGACTGACAGTTCCAAAGATGATTGGATTAGTTTCCCCAGGGACACTGGGAACATGAATTTTGGAGGTCCAGAGTGAAGGGTTCTGGTCTAGGCATAGAGGAATATGACAGTGGCAGCAAGTAGATAACCGGCTAGCCTGGGTGGATGGCTGGATAAGATGCTGTGATGATGTGGGTCACAACCTATCCCAGCCTTTTCATCTTGATTCTAAAAGCGATAGAAATATTATCAATGAAAGGGAATCAATGAGGAAAAAGGGCAAAAATGGTCAGAATTGAATTTGTTTCTTCCCCTTCTTTCTACCATTATTTACCTTTAGAAAGCATTCGAGTACTTGACTCATGAAAACATCTCTCTAGAAGGAAGACAAAATACAGGGTGGTGCAGCTCTAAGGATGTGGCAGAATGGAGAGCGGGAAGCTTCTAAGACCTTTAGGAATATTTTCGCAGCGGGAGCTTTAAACCGATTTTACCAGTAGCCACTAGATTATGGTTTGGTCATCATTTCAGTATTTTTGTACAAATAATTCAGAAACAAGGTGAAAAGCTCTAAAAACCCATACCCTCAGTATTTTTTCTGATGTCTCTTTTGTGCTATGATGGACAGATAGTAAGTTGTTTGCATTGCCTGTCTTCACATTCCATCTTGAATCACTGTTTAAAACTAGAAGCTATGTTTGGTATGTACAGAAGGCACAGATGGTGACTAATTTAGCATTCAGGAAAACTTGTGTTGAATGTGAAGAGAAAATGAGTTGGTTGTGTTCCCAACATGACATTTTTTTGGTGCCAACCTGTGAAAGAAAGCACCGTATTTACCACTGAAAGAAAAGGAAGTGAGGTCTTCTGGGTCATGTAACCAATAAAATGGAAGATGAGACATTTTCTGCAGTCCCCAGTAACACTCAAAGTGCTCACAAAAAAAGGAATTCTGCACCAAAGACAGAGCTATTATAGTTGTTTCTAAGGATAAGCAACTGAACAAAGTAACAGTTTTATCAATCAATGGTGGAGAACCCCCCCCCCCCATATTCTGGCAGGATGTACAAACTGACTTGCAGATTTTACATTGGGATCCATGAAGGAATTTCCCTCTTGCTATAGACTCTGATGGCAAACCTCAACACTTCTTTTCCCCCATCATCCTGTTGCCACAAACTGAACATCAGCTCTGCCTAGGCATTTGAGGTGGACATAGTGGTAAGGGGAAGAGGGAAAGATTATCAGGTTTTCTATTTCCTGGGTCAGCCTTAATTTAGGGAATCTCAAGACAACAGGAACCCTGCCCAAATGCCCACCTTTTCTTCCCCCAATCCTATGGAAAGTGGCTGATTCTGATTCATCCCTGTCAGAGCTAAAGATTAGAGGGAGCTGGTGCAGGGGACCAATGTGTGTAGCTTCATAGCAACTGAAGGAGAAGGCCCTGGAATTCATTTGGAACTGATCTTGCCCCCCAGAAGTTACTTAAGTGAAATGCTGGTGAAAAATAAATTCTTCAGCATGAGAGGAAGCTGAGACAGTGTTGACATCTAGCGTTAATGATAAAGCCACCATCAAGTGGGGAGGAGTCAGAAAGCATGCAACAGGAAAATATAGCAGGGAAAAACTCAAACCACCAAAGTTCTCTAGGAGAAGAAAAGTCAGTTAAATACCTAGAACACCAGCAGATAAATCAACTGAAATGAAAATCAGAAGGCAGGATGACTGCCAGACATCCAAGAGATTGTACACTCCTCTAAATAAATATTATAAGACAGAAGAAATAGAACCAACACACTTGATGAAACACTAGGAAAAACTCTATGGATTCTCAGAGAGTATGAAACCATAGCAGAATGTTCCAGAATATGTCAAGAATGAGATCAGAGTCTTGAAAGAAGGAAAGAACAACATGGCAGAATTTATGGCCTGCACAGAAGGAATCATTAGCAGGATAGAAAAAGTGGCACATTCACAGGGGCAAGTCTCCTCAAAGAAGCAAAAAAAGAGGGCAAGAGATTGGGAATGTACTGTCACAAGTGAAGGACGGTCTGGGAGAAAAGCAGAGCAATAATGTTAAAAGCATATGTGATCTGCATGCCAGCAAATACATTCATCTTCAATAGAAGATACAGAGAGACAAGTTTAGGATTTTAGGCCTATCAGAAAAACACTATAATATGAGAAATGATACAAGAAAACCACCAAGAACTTAAGAATAGGGACAACAAAGTACTGAAGTACCTGTCACATGATAAGACACTTGATAAA